GAGTGTATTCGCCCATTGTTAATTAACAATTATATTAATTCTAATGATATTTTTCACTGGAATATCCGAGGTAACCGTGATCGAGCAATGAACCGCGTAATTGTAGTAGTGTTCATAATACCTCGATCGTCATTTTTCAATGCGATTCGTTTTTGTTTTATTCCGGCGAAAATCGACTTGCATGTATGACGTCAACGGTTTCGAAAAACAACAACCGGGATATTGCATAATTGTTCTTTATTTTAAAAAATCATGAAATCCAAAAAATTGATGAAAAATATTAGATACGTGTTTTTTTATTTTGGAAAAAAATGAAAAATCAAGAAGTTAAAGCAAATTGAAGAGCGTCGACAGCTATCACCCATATACGAACTATTGTGACGTCACAACTGTCGACGTTTTCAATCGCCAAATAGCTCGTCCATTTCTCATTATTTTTTAAAACAAAAAAATACGTATTTACTATTTTTTATTCAATTTTTATATCCAACAATAAAAAAATTTCATGAAATACCCCCATTGCAACAGTAGTACACATAAACCATTTTTCACAGATATATTCATCATTTATTGCGCAAGTATTAAAAGTACAATATTTTCTTAATAAGAAATTGAATATCTTATTTTTCTATTAATATTTTCCGTGAAGAAAGACGGAGTTATGTTGTTGAATGTATAATTACCTCGTGAACAAAGGATTTTAGGGGAAAATGTCAAATAAAAAATGCTTTCGAATAAAAAATGTCTACTGACATTTTCTCCTAAAATTAGTCATCATAAGGCTAATTCGACCAGGACATGCAAAATCGGCGAATTCGAGTGTAAGTTCGATTTTTTTGTGTTCTGCTCAATGTGCAACCATCTCGTAAACGGAGCATTTTAGCAGAAAATGTCAACAGATCTTTTCTGTGAACCGGAAAGCTTTTAAATAAAAAAAGTCTCTTGATACTTTCTCTAATCTAACTCATTACCAAGATAATTCAACATTCACCAAGACATGGAAAATCGATGTGTCCTTCTTTTCGTTCTGTTGCTAAATGTTGAATTATGCAGTGAACAAGTGATTTCGGGAGAAAATTTCAAAATACTTTTTTTGTGACTCAGAAGCTGTCCATTATAGAATGTCCATTGACTTCCTCTCCTAGAATGACTCATTATCAAGATAATTCCAAATTTACCAAGACAGGAAATTAACGTGTTTTTTTCATTTTTGTTCTATTAAAACATTTAGAACAATTCGAGAACAATTGTCTGAACATTCGAGAAACATTATTGAAACAATTATATTAGACAAGATTGAAACACGAGAAATAAACATTCATGAAATAAAAATAAATCCAGATATTATCCGGCCTGGTGGTCAAATAATATTTGGATGTATTTTTATCAAACGGTCGATGAATATCAACTTTAACAAATTCATGAAATAATTGAAAGGTTCATCGGAGAGAACCAATTCAGCTGTGTGGTGATATAGCATAAGAATTGGGTTTTTCACATTGCATCGAATATTGCATTATTTTGAAAAGATTCCTCTTGAGGAGAATTTCCTCACCTACCACAAAGGGATCTTGAAATTCTCTCGAAAAACCTTCAATTCATGAGATAAATACAAAATTAATAATAATAATAATAATAATAATAATAGTAATAATAATCAGAGGAGAATTCAACACAATATGTTCCTCCAAATAATTTTTTAAAATCACAGATTGCGGAATAAATTTCAATAGTAAGGAAGAACGTACGGGAAGAATCGATGACTCCGCTTCATGACCGTATTGGGGATGATGAAGAGTCTGATTGGTTGGGAGAAATCCAAGGTTTTCCAACGGAACCTGTTGAAGGGAATAATAATTAATTTTCATATTGTGTTGATAATTTTGACATTTTCACTTTATCATCAAACAGTATCTTCGCTGTGATTGTCAACAATACAATATTATTCCACCAATTCTTCGCTCATTTCTCATCAGAAGGTTGTCGATGTGATGTTATTCAATTTTCAAGTAATAATCGAATATTAAAGTAAAGAGGCAGTTACTTTACATTTCGTTCAATATAGAATTGTTAAAGATGAATGATTCTATGCGAGAATGCCCTGGCACAGTTATTATTGCCAATTTATCCACTTCTTTTGGCATTCTCTCATAAAAGTACTAATCTCAAGATGAATCAACAATAAAAGTAGTAACAATAAAAATGAACTCATCACGATTTTTACAATAAAAAATAAAGATATAAATTCGAGTTATGAAAGTAGTAGTTTACTAAGGAATGGAACGTACCAATGGGTTGAGATGAATAATTGAACTTTTCTGCTTTCATGGAAACTGTCGATCATGATCTGGATCAGGACGATTTGATCGTTGCGATGACGGTAAGGAATTGATCATGATGAAGTGGATGAATTTTAGCAGCCTGCAACAAAGAAGAGGAATTGATTAGTATTCAACGACATGTTCCAATATCTCGTTCGTGAACAGTAAGTGTTTGAGAACCAACAAAGAATCATTGCTATTGAGACAATTGAGATTTTCCCTCTATTTCAGCCATTTTTACTCTCTTTTTTTTCTTCATTATAATCATGATCATGGGGAGATGAAAGATCACATAACGGATGAATCCGTCTGCGGATTTAGTTGAACTAAAAATTGTAGAGGAATGGAATTGTTGAACTTATAAAAGAAGATTCTTCGACCGTGTGATTACATTAATTATTCCTAGACCTGGCAGTTATGACCAAGGAATAATTCATAATAACTGTCGAATTAATCCGAATGCAAAGAGTTTCTAGCATTCATTTAGGGTCTCTTGTGGGTCTATGTTGATTAATCAATCAGTCAGTCAATAATTTCCATTTAATCATCCCTACTATTGAGTATTAACGTATTTATCTCGGTCATGAATGATTCTATGTGAGAATGTCTGAAGATCGTTGTCGTGAGTGAGGGAATTTTGAACGAAAATTAACTTCTGGAATTTTCTTGTAAAATTTCTCATTGACGAGATGATTTAACTTTTATCAGAATGTGAAAAATCGACTCTGTACGTTTCATCATTTCACTACTAACTTGCACTCACCCGTTAGATGAATGGAAAACGAACTGGATGGATTAATCAGAGTCAAGGTATATGTCATGGTTCCAGGCCAAAGTAGAGACTCGGTTCAAGATGTCTTGTGAATCTTCAACACTTTGAGGTAGTTCTTGGAGTAGTTCCTTGACGAGTTGGATAACTTTGTCCAGTTTGCTCTCCACGCTAACAATACGAGCAATAAGCTGCTTAATTATGATCTCTTCTACCTCGACCTTCTTAGACTCAATAGACTTAGTCAAATCCTGATCTTGTCCTGATGCTGCAAAATTTTCAAAATATAGAAAAATGGTTTTTTTTTCTCTACGATATCGACATGCAATACTGATGCAATCCTCTCAACAGTTTGCTTGAGAGACGACATCTACTGGCATTTTTACTGACAAAATCACTCATTATCAAGATGATTCCACATTTACGAAGTCATGGAAAATCGAAGTGTTATTTTTTTTTCGTTCTGTTGTTAAATGTATAATTATCTCATCAACGGAGTATTTTAGCAGAAAATGTCAAAACATCTATTTTGTGAATCAGAGGCTTTCAAATAAAAAAATGGTTTTGACATTTTCCCCTAAAATCACTCATTATCAAGATAAATTCACATTTATCAAGTCATAGAAAATTGAAGTGTTATTCTTTTGTTCTGTTGTTAAATGGATAATTATTTCGTCAACGAACCATTTTAGGAGAAAATGTCAAAAGATCTTGTTCGAAATACAGCCTAAATCTCCAAAATGGTCACGGTCGACTAACTCGGCCATCTCCGAAAATCTCCGTGAACTTTCGGGTCAACGGACACAGGTCAGCGCGGCACCCGGAAGAGTCAGTCAGTCAGTAGTGTAGAAGTGTCGTTTCGATAATGGTCTAAAGTATTCAGTCAAACAGTATTATAAATTTAAAAATTTTGTTCAGTACATCAACTTGTTAATTAAGTTTAGAAATTTCAGTGACTCAACGAGATAAGGTGAAAAAGACAATATCAGTGAAAATTAGACATTCAACAATAATTGAAGCCAAAGAGTGTACCGAAATAGTGACAAGTGGTTCGATCCCACGCCAAATATATTGATAATTTTCTAAAACGCCTACGATAAACTTCACCACATCTCCGTCCACCTTTTCATCCCACATCCACCCTAAACTAGTTCCTCAACAAACAACAACACTAACATTTGAGGAACTCAACAGTGTCGTGATCCAGATAGAGGCCTGCCTAAATTCCAGGCCAATCTATCCCATGTCAGATGACCCAGACGATCTCCAAGTACTCACCCCAGGACACTTCCTGATAGGTGAGCCTCTTCAACTAATTCCAGAGCCATCAATCATCGACAAGAACCCCAGCAAACTGCAGAGATGGAACCTGGTAACGCAGCTAACTCAACAATTCTGGTCCAGGTGGGCCAAAGAGTGTCTTCAACGATATCAGGCAATCTACAAGTGGACGCATCGAGAAGAGAACATCAAGGTTGGCGATATGGTGCTGATGATCGACGAAAACTATCCACCAGCACAATGGCCAATCGGACGAGTCATTGCGACACGCCTAGGAGCAGATGGGCTAACGAGAGTCGCAACTATAAGAACCGCAAAGGCAGAGGTACCAAGGCAGGCAGATGGATTACCAATCATAGAAAATATCAGAACAATCTACACAGAGCTTGACAGACCAATCACCAAGCTTTGCCTACTGCCATCAGATCCACCACCTCCAGAGCAACCTCCAGACGATGATGCAGAAGAAGATCAACAGGACTAAAATCACCATTAATTCATCATCCCTGATGATGAATTGCCCCCGGGATGTTCGAAATACAGCCTAAATCTCCTGCCAGCTTACTATCTACCACATCACGGGGTACTGAGAGAGGAGGCCATCACAACGAAGCTGAGAGTCGTATTCAATGGCTCCAGCCCCAGTTCATCAGGTATGTCAATTAACGATGTACTGTATTCTGGTGAAAAATTACAGAACGATGCAATGCTTATCCTGACTTGGATGAGAAGGCACAGGCTCGTGTTTGGCACAGACATTGTAAAGATGTTCCGCCAAATACGAGTTCACCAAGATGACTGGGATCTTCAGAGAATCCTGTGGATCGACGAGAATCAACAACCAGTCACCTACCAGTTAACGACAGTCACCTATGGACTAAATTGTTCTCCATGGTTGTCGTTACGTGTTCTTCAACAACTAGCAGAAGATGAAGGGCACCGCTTCCCAGCAGCAGTAGAGACAGTCACCAGAGGTCGTTACGTTGACCACATTTACGGCGGTGCAGAGACAGAAGACGGTCTCAAGGAGATCGCAACGCAACTACAAGGGCTTTGCCATGCAGGAGGCTTCTCTCTACAGAAGTGGAGCAGCAATTGTCCAGAAGCTCTGCATGAGTTGGGCCTATCAACTGACGAAGAAATTATCCAGTTCGAGGAGTCAGTCACCAAGGTACTTGGATTGTGTTGGCATCAATCAACCGACACATTCCGGTACAAATCAAAGGATTTCAATACGGCGACAATCACCAAGAGAGTAGTCTCTTCAGAAATAGCCCAGATTTTTGATCCACTGGGATTTATCGCACCAGTTGTCGTCCAGGGAAAGATTCTCCTACAAGATCTTTGGAGATTGAAACTAAAATGGGATGATCCTTTTCCAGATGAGTCTGTTCAATGCTGGAAGACATTCCGAGAGAATCTCAACGACCTAGACAGAGTAACTGTATCTAGATGGCTGAGAATTTCAACAGAGACACTCAACATCCAAATTCATGGATTTGCAGACGCTTCAACGGTAGCCATGAGTGCAGTGGTGTATATTCGCACCAAAACCATCAACGACTCGACATCAACAGTACTGGTATGCGCGAAGACTAAGGTAGCACCACTCAAGCGCATGACCATCCCTCGACTAGAGCTCACAGCAGCTCTTCTACTGACTCAGCTAGTGGCATCAACGAAGAAAATGCTCCAACTCGACCAGGTAGACACCTATCTCTGGTCTGATTCTTCAGTAGCACTAGCTTGGATCAGGAGCCACGCATCAAGATGGAAGGACTTCGTCCACAACAGGGTCGTCAAGATCCAGGAAACTCTCCCGAATGCTACCTGGAGACATGTCAGTGGAAAGGAGAATCCAGCTGATTGTGCCTCCAGAGGCATATCACCGAGCCAGCTAGAAGATCATCAACTGTGGTGGTCAGGACCTGAGTGGATCAATCAGGATCCTGAAGAATGGCCACAATCATCAATCGACGCTCCAGCAATGGACATCCCAGAAGTGGCCAGAGAAGCAAAACCAGCACCAGCACATCCAGTTGCAATTAAAATCAACGAAATTGCAGAGCTACTCAACAGATATCAGACGATGGCTAAATTGCTAGCCGTAACAGCTACGGTCAACAGAGCTATCGACAGATTCAGGAGGCAGCCAACGCCCCCGGGACCTGTCTTGACAACAAGAGAACTCAACGACGCGAGGTTATTTTGGGTAAAGATAACCCAACATCAATACTTTGGGCCAGCCATTCGAGTACTCCAGAGAAATCACCAACTACCGAGAAATCATCAACTAGCCAAGCTGACACCCACACTAGACAACGAAAGGATCATGAGACTTGGGGGACGCCTCAAGAACTCGCAGTTAAATCCAGACGAAATTCACCCAATAATCTTGCCTCGCCAATCACGCCTCACCACACTAGTCATCGAAGAAGCTCACCGGAAAACACTCCACGGAGGAACTCAACTCACCTTGGCCTATACCCGACAAAGGTACTGGATAATCGGCGGCAGAGGCACAGTTAGAGCATATATTCAACGCTGTGCCATCTGCACCAGACACCGAGGAAGACAGGCCCAGCAACAGATGGGTCAACTACCAGCAACGAGAATCTCACCAGCAAGAGCATTTCTCCACACAGGTGTGGACTATGCAGGACCATTCGCCATCCTCAAATGGAGACCAACGAATGCACAACCAGGGTCAGTGCACATTGCAGTTTTTGTGTGCTTCACTACATCAGCAGTTCACCTAGAACTAGTCACCAGGCAGACAACGCACGCCTTCATCGGAGCCTACAAGAGATTCACCGGAAGGCGGGGTATTCCAGCTGTCATGTACAGTGACAATGCCACTACCTTCGTGGGCGCAGCAGAGGTCCTAGAGAAAATCTACCACCGAACATCCAGAGAAAATCAGCAGGTTCAGGCTGCTCTCGCCACCAATGGGACTCAATGGAGCTTTTCACCACCACGAGCACCCCATTTTGGAGGCAAGTGGGAAGCAGCGGTGAAATCAACAAAATATCACCTTAGAAGAGTCTTGGGGACAACAACACTCACATTTGAGGAACTCAACAGTGTCGTGATCCAGATAGAGGCCTGCCTAAATTCCAGGCCAATCTGTCCCATGTCAGATGACCCAGACGATCTCCAAGTACTCACCCCAGGACACTTCCTGATAGGTGAGCCTCTTCAACTGATTCCAGAGCCATCAATCATCGACAAGAACCCCAGCAAACTGCAGAGATGGAACCTGGTAACGCAGCTAACTCAACAATTCTGGTCCAGGTGGGCCAAAGAGTGTCTTCAACGATATCAGGCAATCTACAAGTGGACGCATCGAGAAGAGAACATCAAGGTTGGCGATATGGTGCTGATGATCGACGAAAACTATCCACCAGCACAATGGCCAATCGGACGAGTCATTGCGACACGCCTAGGAGCAGATGGGCTAACGAGAGTCGCAACTATAAGAACCGCAAAGGCAGAGGTACCAAGGCAGGCAGATGGATTACCAATCATAGAAAATATCAGAACAATCTACACAGAGCTTGACAGACCAATCACCAAGCTTTGCCTACTGCCATCAGATCCACCACCTCCAGAGCAACCTCCAGACGATGATGCAGAAGAAGATCAACAGGACTAAAATCACCATTAATTCATCATCCCTGATGATGAATTGCCCCCGGGATGTTCGAAATACAGCCTAAATCTCCAAAATGGTCACGGTCGACTAACTCGGCCATTTCCGAAAATCTCCGTGAACTTTCGGGTCAACGGACACAGGTCAGCGCGGCACCCGGAAGAGTCAGTCAGTCAGTAGTGTAGAAGTATCGTTTCGATAATGGTCTAAAGTATTCAGTCAAACAGTATGATAAATTTAAAAATTTTGTTCAGTACATCAACTTGTTAATTAAGTTCAGAAATTTCAGTGACTCAACGAGATAAGGTGAAAAAGACAATATCAGTGAAAATTAGACATTCAACAATAATTGAAGCCAAAGAGTGTACCGAAATAGTGAAAAGTGGTTTGATCCCACGTCAAATATATTGATAATTTTCTAAAACGCCTACGATAATTTTCACCACATCTCCCTCCACCTTTTCATCCCACATCCACCCTAAACTAGTTCCTCAACAACCAGATCTTTTTTGTGATTCAGCAGCTTTCAAATAAAAAAAGTCTTCTGACATTTTTCCTTAACATCATTCGTTATCAAGATAATTCCACATTTACGAAGTCATGGAAAATCGATGTGTTATTTTTGGTTTATTGCTAAATGTTGGATTATTACGTAAACAAGTGATTTCAGGCGAAAATGTCAAAAAACTTTTTTTGTAGTTGACTAAACCCTAAATACAGTTTATATCTTTGACATTTGACGTAGATTCTCCTTCATCAAAATGATTGTGTATTCTACGCACGATAAAAATTGCTATTATCGAAAATCCTTAGAATGATTAAAACTGTTATTTACGGGGATTTTCATGATACTCTTACATTACCTAAATTATTCTGAATTATTAATGATTGTGATGGATTCGTTAATTCTAGAAGAGCAACAATATATACAATAGACATAACCTCTAGGAAGATTCTTTGATTAAAAGAGATATGAAACTCACATTTGATGACTTGACTGAAATAAAATTAATAAATGTAATTGACAAATAGTGTTTTATCATCACTTACCCATATTTTCAGTTAAATGGTGATGAGAGAAAGATCGAGGAGGACTCTGGTCAATAAAACAATCAATTAACGAGTTACGTAAAACACGACGCTGAGCACACACCGCACACACACATAGGAACAGGAATGGTGTCAGTAACCGGCCGGTACTGCTTGACCAATCGCGAACACCGTATGCAACGACACGTGGAGAATTATGTAGATGAGTCTTTTCACTCTCTCTTTGCAATTGAATCATGAGAAATAAACGTTAAAATTATTATCCATCAGAACTGTGGCTCAATGCTACACAAGTGCAGAAAAAAAGGATGAATTTGATCGACAATTTTTACAAGTGTTTTGACAAAATATCAGATTCACAAAATCAAAAAATAAGACATTGCAGACAGAATTCGCTGGAGTGTTCCACAGACACACATGCATAGCTCTGAATTGATGTGATGGGACTGTGGAACCATCAAATAAAAGAACGAGTACTTGCATACGGCATGTTATCTGCCAGTTCAGACATTCACTCGTGTAGTACCTGTACACCCCAGCAGATCGTTCCGAAATAGCTTCAAGTGTAATTAATCAAAGTTGCTGATTATTGTTTAGTGTTTACTTCGTTTATCAGGTAGGTGTGGTTGAATTAATCCCAAAGAAAAACCGATCAATGTTAGGGTGAACTGTCAATTTCGTACATAATAGAATATTTTATTTCTTTGATGCTATCTTTACGGTTTTACATCTACCCTCCAACTTTATAAATTCTTCCAATTTCCATTTTTTTTCTCATTCCAGATTTTAAACTTCAACAATCATCACCACGAAAACTGCAAGATGTTCCCATCTGAATCATCCAGTTCAGAAGGTAAATTCAAATGCATTTAATATTATATTGCCGTTAAATGCTTAGTCGAAAGTGAATTCATTCGTGCTCGTCTCGCAATCGCGTTTTATGAAACATTTCTCGGTGTTTTTTTTCTTTCAAATCTCATTCCTATACTAGGGCCACTCGACAATAATGATATATTTTTTTCTTTTGTGAAGCAATCAGAATACCACTTTTCCAATTTAGAGATAAGGTCCATTGATTGTGAAGGTTGCTGATTCAAATGAAATGTCCCACAAAGCAAATTGATTTTTCACTCTTGGACGTATGAGCCTTTGATTCAAATCAATCATGAAAATTCCTCCATCTCTTTTCAGCTGGTAGCAATGGAGAACGCAGTGCTGCAGCGCAATCTGCATTGGAGAAAAGCACTGCTAATGGTCAAAGGATCTGGATGAAATTTAATGCATTGGAGATGAACGTGAAGGAAGCAATCGTGAGGATGAAACAGTTCAACAAGAACTTGACGAAGACCAGAAACTTCCTGAATGAATTGATGATACACACATGAATGGAATAAAAGTCAACATTATATATTTAAAAGTTTCAATCAGTTCAGAGAAATTAAATCGATTCTATAAATGTAAACGTATATCATAATAAATAAAACTTAACTACAATAATTGGTCTTAATCTCCTTTGCGTGTTCTAGGCAGAATCCTTTTGGAAATGCTGGAAAAAATCCTCCTGGGTTTCTTTCTGAGTGTCCTAGACAGTATCTTGTTGATACTGCTGGAAAAAAATTCCTTCTAGGTGTCCTTGTGAGTATCCTGGATAGAATCCTTTTGGGAGTGCTGGAAAAAATCCTTCTGGGTGTCGTTAGAAGTGGCCTACCAAGAATCCTGTTGATACTGCTGAAAAAAATTCTTCTAGTTCTCCTTCTGAGTGTCCTAGACAGAATCCTGTTGGGACTGGTGAAAACAATCCTTCTAGATGTGCTTCTGAGTGTCCTAGGTAAGATCATCTTGGGAGTGTTGGAAAAATCGTTCTAGGCGTCTTTTTGAGTGTCCTTGGTAAAATCCTGTTGATACCGCTGGAAATAATCCTTCTGTGTATCCTTCTGAGTGTCCTAGGTAGAAACCTGTTGGTATTGCTGGAAAAAATCCTTCTAGTTATTCTTCTGAGTGTCTTAAACAGAATCCTGTTGGGACTGCTGGAGAAAATAATTCTAGTTGTCCTTGGAAGTGTCTTAGGAAGAATCCTGTTAATAGGACACGCAGAAGGACACCTAGAATTATTTTCATTAGTAGCCCGAACCGGATTCTGTCTAGGACACTCAGTAGGTCAACTAGAAGGATTTTTACCGGCAATACCAACAGGTTTCTACCTAGGACACTCAGAAAGACACCTAGACGGATTTTTTCCACTATTCTCAAACGGATTCTACCTAAAGACACTCAGAAGAAGAACTAGGATGATTTTTTCCAGTATTCCCAAAAAGATTCTACCTAGGACACTCAGGAGGACACCCAGAAGAATTTTTTTCCAGCAGTATCAACAGGATTCTGTCTAGGGCACTCAGAAGGATGAATAGAAGGATGTTTTCCAGCAGTCCCAAAAGGTTTGTACTTAGGACACATTTTAGGATAGCCAAAATCATCCTCTCCAGCATCTCAAACAGGATTCCCCCAGGAGATTCTAAAGGATGGTTGGAATACTCTCCTTCAGCATCTCCATAGGATTCTCTCCAAGAGACTCTAGAGGTCAGTCAGGACGATTTTCTCCAGCAGCTGTTGGAGGATGGAGACTGATTCTCTCCAGAAGTTGCAACAGCATTCTCCCGTGGAGAATCTGGAGGTCGACTAGAATGATACCTGCTAACGTCTCTGCCAGGATTCTCTTCAGGAGAGTCTGGAGATAGTTTAGAATACCAGCAGCTCCAACAGCATCCTTCCGAGGAGACTTTCGTCGTTGAGCACGATCCAGGACAATAGTGACATAATGGGGGTTCTGTCTCACGTTATTCAAAGGGATCCCCCCTTTGGAAGAACACAACGAAACGAATATCCGTGTGTTGTTTTCTTTCAACCCGCCTTTATTTTGACCGTAAAACAAGTGATAAATGAAGCTGGCCGTTCGAACGAGGCATCTTGGCACTTCCTGTGATTTCGAAGGCCCAAACTTCGATCTTAAATCGTGAATATCTCGGCCAATATTCACCAGATTCAAAAATCGTTTCCTCACTTGCGTATTATTTTTTCATGTAGAATATCGCTATATATCCCAAATGCCCGAATTTGGTAAAACCCTGTATTTACATTGTTACTTGACATAATATACGATTCGTCACTCCACCATTCACTGTGATACGTGATTTGCTATTTGAATTGGGACTCGTTTTGATACTTCAATCGATAGGCAGAATGGAACTGAGACTTAGCACTTATCTTGATATTCCTATTGTTATTCACCATAAAACATAATTCATTACTTCATTCAACATCGACAGTGATACATAATTTGATATTTCGATTGTTACTCCTTTTGATCCTCCAATTGTTACGTGATATGATACATGATTGGTTACTTCACACGGCATCTATTTTGATACGTAATTTGATATTCCGTTTGCTACTCTTTTTGATACTTCAATCGATACGCAGAATGGAATTGAGACCTAGCACTTATAGTCATATTCCAATTGTTATTCAACATAATACATAATTCGATCTTGCATCGAACATATACTGTGATGCATAATATGATATTTTGATTGTTCCTCTTTTTGATATTTCAATCGATATGCAGTATTGAACTGAGACCTTCAATTGAAGTATCAAAAAGAATCGCGACCGGAATATCAAATTACGTATCAAAGTAGATGCTGTCTAAAGTAACCAAGCATGTATTATATCAAGTAACAATTGAAGTATCAAAAGGAGTAACAATCGAAGTATCAAATTATGTATCACTGTAGATGTGGAATGAAGTAACGAATTATCTATTCTGTTGAGTAACAATTGGCATATCACGATAAGTGGCAGGTCTCAGTTCAATTCTGCGTATCGATTGAAGTATCAAAAGGAGTAACAATCGGAAAATCAAATTACGTATCAAAGTAAATGCTGTGTAAAGTAACCAATCATGTACCATATCAAGTAACAATTGAAATCTCAAAAGGAGTAACAATCGAAATATCCAATTATGTATCACTGTAGATGTTGAATGAAGTAACGAATTATATATTCTGTTGAGTAACAATTGGCATATCACGATAAGTGCTAGGTCTCAGTTCCATTCTGCCTATCGATTGAAGTATCAAAAAGAGTAACGATCGAAATATCGAATTACGTATCAAAGTAGATGTTAATTGAAGTGAAGAATTATGTATCATGTTAAGTAACAATTGAAATATCGCTATAAGTGCCAGGTCTCATTTCCATTTTGCGTATCGAATGAAGTGTCAAAAAGTGTGAAAATCGGAAAATTGAATTACATACTCAAGTAGATGCTGTTTGAAGTAATCAATCATGTATCATGTCAAGTAAAAATTGAAATATCACAATAAGTGCTAGATTTCAGTTCTATTTTACGTATCAATGTGAAGTATCAAACCAAGTACCAATTAAAACAGCAAATTAGATATCACAGCAGATTGTAAAGATTATTATTATCTCATGAAATATTTCTATTCTGCGTATCGATTGAAGTATCAAAAAACTAATTACGGATCAAAGTAGATCCTGTGTGACGGAATCAATCATGTATTTTGAACTATCAAAAAGAGTAACAATCAAAATCAAATGACGTATCACAGTATATGTTAAACGGAGTATCGAATTATGTATTATGTCAAGTAACAATTAAAATACCACGATAAGTGCTAGGTCTTAGTTCAATTCTGCGTATCGATTGAAGTATCAAAAAGAATAACGACCGGAATATCAAATTACGTATCAAAGTAGATGCTGTCTAAAATAACCAATCATGTATCATATCAAGTAACAATTGAAGTATCAAAAGGCGTAAAAATCGAAATATCAAATTATGTATCACTGTATATGTTGAATGAAGTAACGAATTATGTATTGTGTTGAGTAACAATTGGTATATCACCATAAATGCTAGGTCTCAGTTCAATTCTGCGTATCGATTGAAGTATCAAAAAGAGTAACGATCGGAATATCAAATTACGTATCAAAGTAGATGATGCGTAAAGTGACAAATCATGTATTATGTCAAGTAACAATTGAAATATTGTTACTGCCGAGTAATGACTGCTACTGCCGAGTTACCCACGCACCCGACTCACATTTACCGACAATTCGACCGGAATGCCGCCTTTCCCGTGGGGTACCAACTAACTTTTTTGGAGTCAGTCAAACCCCCCGATCCGGGCTTATACTCAGGTCTATCCTCTTTGATAGGGCACGCCATACGGCCGGTTGACGTATTTATCTATACTCAATGCCAAAAAATTAAGATTAGGGCACGCCATAACCCTCATGAGTGACGGACGTGAACCGAGACAACCACCTTCACGTCATAACGGGAGTTCAGCCGCCTACTCGCACAGTGTCGTCAAGTTTCTCCGTTACTCCCACCATTCTCCCCATGTTCGACATTTCAACTGAAAGTCACCCTCTTATTGGTCAACTTCAAACCCTTATAATTTAATCAATTCACCCCCACAATTTTTTTCGCTATTTTTCCCAGTATCCCATCGACCTCTAGAATCGACCCATAACCGCTTGATGACCTCCCATGAGACACCCTGTATAAGCATACATAAGCATACATAAGTATGTATTCATATATATGTATGTATGTATGTATTGTGACGTAATTTTCGCACCGCTACGGGAGACGATGCTAAATACGTTGCCCTCGGCGACCCATTTACCAAAAACAAAGTTGGGCGCCAGCACGTCTAAAACGTACAAAATTAACGAATTCCAAAAAATCCGCAAAACCAGGTGGAGACCGGCAAACTCAGCATCAACCGCGGAAGCGTCTGGGTCCTCTCAAAACCACCTGAACGAATACCTGAAATGACTCGGTAACAGGCTAACTAAAATAACAAAATTCCGAAATCGGGCTAACGATCTCTTTAATAACCAAAATAAATAAAATAGATCAATAAAAATATAATGTAAATCAATGAAATTAATCAAGTCTTTAGAAACCCCTTATTTCCTCCGGAACATAAATTTCAACAAAACAAATAACACTCTAACGACTCGATACAATTCCAAATCCCTAACCGCAATTTGTCAAACAATAAAATCACTGAGTCAAATTAATCCCTATTCGTCAACTGAGTCCAAAAATCATGTCAACCGATGAAAATGTTCAGTGAAGTACAAAAAGTCCATTATCGCAGTTGAGACTGAAACGAGCCTCGAAAACTAAAATATTCAAAATAATGTTCGCGAGAGAAAATGATTTCGGCCAGCGAAAACTGGGATTGCCTCGAGAGACAATAACAAGTGTCGGTAACCTTGAGCGGTTCAACACGGCGAAACCAATGATTCGAGCGTCGACAATAACGCTACAATCCCAATTTTCGCAATCAAATATTTCGACCGAATAATAACTCAAACCCTAGAC